GCGATGGAGAAGGACGAGGAGGAAGATGAAGAGGACAACGAGGAAGGAGGAGGAGAAGGCCCCGACGACGGAGGAGGAGGAGGAGGAAGAAGAAGAGGGCGAGGAGGAGGAGGACGAAGAAGAGGTGGAGGAGGGAGAGAACTTAAAGGAGGAAGAAGAAAAGGAGGAGGAGGGCGAGGAGGACGATGACTGGGGAGGGGATGAGGAAGAAGAGGAAGAAGAGGAAGAAGAGGAGAAGGGCCCGACGATGGAGTAGTAGGAGGTGGAGGAGGAGGAGGCCTGTTTCTATTTTTGTTTCTGTTTTTGCTCAGAATAGCCCCATATCTTTTGGGGGGGGGTCCCCTGGCAGTGCGCAGATCCCCCCCCCACTTCCCTGACAAAAAAGCTGTTGTCCGATTTTCCAGACAACTCCCCCTCGACCGTCTCCCGGTATGTCTGGGGGAGACGTCTCCCAATCGGACAGCTGTTAACGTAGATTTAAAATAAAAAACTCGAAAAAAAAAAAAAAGAAAAAAAAAAAAAGAAGGAAGCCTCCCACGTACAGTAGTACATGTACTCGTGTACCCAAAACTGCATGCATGTACGCCATGCTACCTAGACCAAAACCAAAAGAACATGCACAGTTTGCACCTGCATGATGTGCTGCAAAATATGCTATGGAATCATTGCAATGACCCCTCCGTACAAGAGACAAAAGAAGAGGGAGAAGGCAACAACAAAACACGAAGGAGCTCGGGCTCAACAATTGGAAATCACCACATCAACAAAAGGGCGAAGAAGACCCGAATCATGCAATGTGAATTCACGGAACAGATGAATACATGTTCCAATCAAGTCAGCACCATTCTCAGAGTGTTGGTGAACCATTTTACAAAGCAGCCATACCAACAGTCTTGATACTGACCAGCCACAGAAAAATACATGAGACAGAAGCCAGCGGCGACAAAGCCCAATCCACAGCTAGGATCCCAGCAGGTCAGAACCATGGTGTCTCTTATCCGAGTAGCTGGAAGATAATTCAACACAGCCTCCGCATTGAGATTTTAAATCTGCAGTTCAATGCGGATTTGAAGGGTTTCACCATGGCCCAAAATCGGGCAAAATGGGCTGTTGGGGACAGGTACGCCGTATCTGATGTGGTGGGGGTGTGGTGGGGGTGCGGTGGGGGTGTGGTGGGGTCCCTGGACAACCCCCCACCCAAAAACAAAAATTTGTTCTTCTGGCAGGCAGCGTTTGTTCGCACCCGCACCGTTGGGATTTTGGGGGCCAAGTGATAAGAGGTGGTTGTTGCCACCACATCCCTCATTTGGAGTTGTCCAACATCCGTTCGAGTGGGAAGGAGGGAGAGAAAAACAGCGAGCGAGAGAGAGAGAGACAGAGAGAGAGAGTAAGCTGTCCGCGTGGCAGCGTGACATGACTGACGTCAATCCAGACCAGCATTTGTATGGGCACACCCACATTGACCTGGATGAGTCCCGGAGGGTCACTGAGCACACGGCTCGCCAGCAACCTGGATTGGGAGCTGCTGGCTCGCAGAGGAGTGGGCTGAGGGATGTCACTGCAGCTGGATTTCAGCGAGGAGGAGAGGATGTCAGTACGGGTGTCGGCGAGGAGAAAGGTCAGGGAAGTGGGTGGGGCAGGAGTTTGGAGCACACTTTGCGAGTAGCAACAAACATTGTATGCAAGTTGACTCCATGGCGTGCTACACAGCCCCGACCTCGTGCCACACGTGCGGAGGGGGGGTCTGCGCTTGGGGAGTCGTCAGGTCCAGATGGATTGCCTATGCCGACACACAGATGCTGTGGATGCAGTCGGCAAGAGGGTGGTGAGAGCAAGCAGGGTGCGTGGACTTGTTACCGTTGAGGACCCCGACGACAGTCCACAGCCTGACGAGGAGGAGGAGGAAGTCCTCCGGCAAGGAGGGGGGCAAAGAGCAGGACGATGATAACAATGACGACGAGCCGCCCCCTCCTCCCAGACGTCAGTGACGAGCGAAGGGCCAAGGGAAATGATTCGGTGGGGCCCGTGGTGGGGGGGGGCGACGGGGTAAGGGTTTCCGCGACAGATGTGCAGTGCAGGGAAGGCAGGAAGGCAAAGAGACTTCGATGACTTTCGTTGACATACTTCGCTTTCCCACCGTACCGTGTCATGTGGGTGGTATAGATGACTGCTCTTATTTGTACCATTGTTGTAACACAGTTTGGTAGTTTTATTACCACACATAGGGAGTGCACATGCGGTCACGGTTACTTGCACTGTAGTTTGGTAGATTTATTACGTGTATGGAGTGTGTCACATTATTTCTTTCTTTTTTTTAGCTTACCTGTCGTTGAGACAGCACAGGGAAGTAGGGTGACGAGACACATCACATGGTCCTTGCCACTCACCGTCGAACAGGGGTGAGAGTCACTGGGAGGATGAGTATTTTTTATGTTTTTCAAGTACGTTTTGTGAAGGCCTGTTCCACAAAATGATTTCTGCATATGGAAGTAGGGAGGGGGCGCATAGAGGAGCACTGGAAGACAATTTCAGGGCGTGTATGAGGGGGACTGGAGTGTCCAAGAGCAACACAATGCTTTTGCCATGTTGGGAGAGGGAGATGGCATTCAGGGGCATTAGGTAGCTATTAGGTATGCAATGCCATGCATCATGTACGTACTTGGCATGTATTTATGTATGCATTAGGTGTGAAGTCGATATGAACAAGGCATGGATTAGTTAAATTCTAGGTGATTTCAGGGCATAGTGTCCAAAAAGCTATCCAGGTCATACTGGAGATAATCTGCGAAGAGAAATTTATTGATTCCAGTCATGCTTTTCAGTCTGTATTAGGTAGGTGTTTATTAGAGATCCATTAGGTGGGTATTGAGAACAACAAACACCCCACAGAAATCATGACACGGAACCTTATCACTGCTGAGGGAAGTGAATGCCAGGGAATGATAATCATCGTTTTTTTTGCTGTACCCATGTCCTTCATGTTAACATTAACCACTTTTAAGATACCAGATTGTTTGCTAGGCTTCATGAGGGAAAGCACTCTATCAACCAATGCCTTGCTAAGCTTCCCTTCATAGAAAAAGCACACAATAGTCTTCACACTTCTTGCTAGTTCTTCAGCAACGAAATGCAGATTTCTCTCAAATTCGAAATCACAAAGGTAGAAACATACATACCTTGTCCCCATGTTTGGTGGTACTCTGACTCGCTGTCCTGCCACAGTTGCACGTTCCATATCCCAGTTGAAGACAGGATCATACGCAGAAAGTGGAGATCCCCCAAGGTGCTGCATTCAGAAGTAAAGGAAAAGAAGGCAGAACACGGAACTCCGGTCAGATGATAGACACAGGACAATACACCAGCATGTTCAGAGCCACTTGCCAAGGGAGGGCTACTACATGCCACAGAATTAAACTAAATGCCATAATCTTGGATGGACCAACAATAATGGGTCCAATTGCTTTACAGCAAAACAACCAATATGTAATCACTGCATGCACGGCCCATAGGCCCTTTCGTAGCTCCCTTCTTCAGCATAGGCAACCCTGCATTCTAATCACTTACTAGAGGCCTTCCGACTGCCAGACATGGTGTAAGTGCCTCAGAAAGTCTTCAAGAGAACACGAGCACTTACTTCAGGTTCAAGTTCATGGTTAAGGCACAAATGAAATGAATAGCAACGTCAATTGTCCCAGATGCACGTGCAGCGGGCGAACTGTCCATCGCATGCCATCCGTGTTTTTGGTTTGGTAATTGCAACTTTCAAAGTTTTGATTACTAGGTCCTGTTTTGAAATCTTCTATGTCCAACATAGAGGGGCCACCATCTCCAATATTTGAAACAAAAACATAAAACACATTCTCATTATTCAACGGCCGTTGAACTCCTGTTTAATGAACCGCGCTCCAGAAGCTCACACCATCATCATCACACATGTACTCCCCAAAGCTCCAATGAATAACTCGGCAGCGTTAGCAATAACACCACATGAGCAGACAATGAGGAGGAGGGAAAGGAAACGCAAATAACTCAAATGAAATTGATAAGTACAATGTTTACAACTCCTCTCCTCTTCAATCCTGCAGGCTCTTCCCCTCCTCAAGTGCTCTTCCCCTCCTCAAGTGCCACGTCACAATTTGATCATCCTACAACTACAGCTGCTTAGACAACTCTCCCATCACACACCACGCTCCCAACACATAATGTCCTGTCCAAGTCAATTACGATCTGCCACCTGTCTCTCAAGACCAGTGCACATAATATCAACACCAGGTATGACAATACCCTGCCTTCTGAAGCACTGCACTCACTTTTTCTCCAATCGCAACCACCAGCAGGTAACTCTTAGGTCAGCTTCCATCTCCTTTCTAGCCACAGGCTATGGCACCTCTCTCTCTCTCTCTCTCTCTCTCTCTCTCTCTCTCACACACACACACACACACACACACCCAAATATAGCCCTTGAGCACTTTCTCCAACGAGCTATGGGTACCACTCTCTCTCTCTCTCTCTCTCTCTGTCTCTCTCTCTCTCTCTCTCTCTCTCTCTCTGATCACATTCTCCAACGAGCTCTCTCTCTCTCTCTCTCTCTCTCTCTCTCTCTCTCTCTCTCTNGCTCTCTCTCTCTCTCTCTCTCTCTCTCTCTCTCTCTCTCTCTCTCTCTCTCTCTGTGTGTGTGTGTGTGTGTGCGTGTGTGTGTGTCAGCACTCCAACAACTGCGTCCTGAAGCAAATATGACGAAAACTGGTGAGCCAGCCAATATTTATTGCGTTGACTGGACTTGCCTGCCTCTTCAAACACATGAAGGGCTGAGATTCTCAGCTGGGCGGCTAAGATTGGGCCAGGATCCGAGGCTGCCTGGACCCAGTAGGCTTGAATGCATCTGAAAACATTTTTTGAGCCTTTGGATTTGAGTGTGTTCTACTGCTGTTATTGACTTCTGGAGAAATCTTTGAGTTTTGGACTCCTGGACTACTCAGAGTGCGACTGTCGACTTACCTGGGGCATGCGTTGACTTTTCTCAGGCCCTGGGGAGTCAGTCCGGACACTGTGTCACAAAGCTATTCACCTCAGGACTTCTGGAATCGCCCTCACACCCTCCAGCCTGACTTTTAACCCCAAGACTTTGAACAGCCAGAAGCTATGACTGGAGGACTGGCTCATTGCCAATTTTGCCCCGGGAGCTTTTTCACCTGTCCTTTTATCATCAAGTCTGGACTGCACAACCCAACCCTCAAGCAGGCAATGGCATGAGAGCATCAAGCAACCACTTCCTTCTTCCTTTTTAAGTTGAGGGTTGGGGTGCAAGGATGAAGGACAGAGATAGCCCCTTCGTTCTTAAAAGGAGATAACAAGCCTGGTCAGAATGCACTTGGGCATCTGCCAAAAGAAAAATGACAAAATGGATTTGAAAGTCGAAACAGCTACTGGCTCAATACACTCGCCATTTCTCACATCAGACAAAGTCAGTTATAAGAGTTCACACCTTGAAGTTGAACTTGGGTTTTTCAATACACTTCTTCTCAACCTCCTCAGCACCATTTGCGTCTGCTGAAGTGACTCCATGTTTTCCCGATGGTAGGTCATGACCATTCGCATGAGAAAACCGTAAACTATCCTGCTTTGTCAATGATATTTGTGATAAGTTCAGCTCTGCAAGTGCACATTTCAGACAACATAACAACCATCATGCAAACAATCCATGTCATATTGGAAAATGTTCCACATATCAAGAACAGAATCTGTCAATCTGGTATACAAAGATTTTTATGTGCGGTGCAATAAGCCTAGTCTTCCCCAAAGGGCAAAGCCGCTTCGCCTTCGTCACTCTCCTTCTATGTAACGGACACCCTGATCACGCCCCGACCTCCCAACACTTAGATCCACAGTCTTCCCACACAGCCTTACCTCTGCTTGCCACACTCCATTACACAGTACTGCCATGACATATTAATACAGACTCACCAACTGATATCAAATCAACCCCACTATGCAAACACTCACGAGCAGGTGCACATGTGCACACACACATGTTCGCGAGCGTGGATGCACACATGCATGCATGCTTTCTCCCCATTACAATGGTGGTCCTGGTGGGCCACCTACCTCATCCACAGACCGGAATCCTTTCCATCTGGACAGAAACGGCTAGATCCAGATCTGATTGGGACCAAGAGGCCCCCGCCAAAAAATATTCCACTGCCTAAAAAAAAAAATTGAACCTCCAAAGATGCCGGTGTTAAAAATGTGCTCGCTCACTTTTTTTTCCTTTTTTTCAGTTTTCTTTTCTTTCTTCTTAAACCTTTTTAATGTGTCTGTCAGACTGTCTGTGTGGTAGTGTGTTTGTGTGTGTGTGGGAGAGAGAGAGAGAGAGAGT